TACATTTTGGAAGTATCTTGAATTGGAAGGAGAAGAGAAAAGCAAGCATGACTTCTAGGTTTCTGGCCCAAACAACTGGGAGGCTGGTAATGATTATTTACAAAGTGGAAGAAACTGGGGAAGGAGCAGGAATGTGCAAAACAAAGCATTCAATCAACTCAACATCCAAAATTCCTGTCCCAGTGATCTGACTCTACCGAAAGAATGCTTTTCCATTTTGCCATCATTTCACTTTTCTCCAAAGGCTGTCTTCTGAGAACCACAACTGTAACTGTAATATTTGGTTTCATCTGGTAGGAAAACAGTGGTGGAACTCACGTGGTGGGGATTAGGACTTCAACCTATCTTTTTTTTGTTACTAAAAGCAAAATGATAGACTCAGCATATGACTTGACAGTTTTCATCATGGAATTTTGAAAATCAATGAACTGTGCAAATGTACAAAATTTTTTGTTTGAGACCCACGTCTTGCATCCAGTAATGTTCCTACCAAACATACATATCACAATTTATAATTAAATATTTGTGTGACTAATTAGTATTAGTAGCTGATTATATTTACTTTTGTTTGGCCGTGGGTAAATCCAGGAGTACAGCTTTGGAAGGAGATGCCCAGCCTTGGTTTGGACAACTTTGAATTTATCTCAGGTATAGGTCAGTCTGGTGGTGTTGATGGCAAGGGGTGGGGGGTAGGTAGGGGGAGGGTGGTTCCCTGACTTCACACCTGATCCAGCACAAAGAACGCCAGTATTGGAGCCCAGGGCAGATCAACTTAGGAGCATCCTGGCATAATCCCAGGATTATATCAATATGTTTCTAAAACTTCCCATGTCTTTGCTTTGTAAAAGGTGAGTTTTTCTACAATTGTGAATAAAAGTGTTCAGTTTCAGCTCAGTATTAAACAAGCTTGGTTTCTATTCATTTCTATTCGTTCTTTTTTTTTCTGGGTATAAAGCAGACATTTATTTATTTCATTAATATACATTTTTCTATTGTTGATAGTATTACAGTTGTCTCCCATCACCCCCCACCTTTAGATCTCAGCTCAGACATCCTCTCCTTGGGGAGGTGCTCCCTGTCATCCCTCCCACTGTCCTGCAAAAATTGAAAACACTGACTCAGCCATTGTGCCCTAGTAGTTGAGTGTCAACCTATTAACCAGGAGGTCATGGTTCAATTCAAGGTCAGGGCACATGCCCAGGTTTCAGGTTTGATCCCCAGTAGGAGGCATGCAGGAGACAGCTGATCAATGATTGTCTCTCATCATTGATGTTTCTATCTCTCTCTCCTCCCTTCCTCTCTAAAATAAAACATTTTTATATAAAATTAGAAGCACTGGTGCTTTTCTTCCTAGCTCTTACCTCAGTTTATATTTCTATGTTTAAGAGTGAAGTTACTTGGCCCTAGCCAGTTTTGCTCAGTGGATAGAGCGTGGGCCTGCGACCTGAAGAGTCCCAGGTTTGATTCCGGTCAAGGGCACATGCCCGGATTGCAGGCTTGTTCTCCCGGGAGAAGGGCGGGGTAGAGGAGAGTGTGCAGGAGGCAACTGATCAGTGATGCTCTCTCATCATTGATGTGTCTATCTCTCTCCTCCTTTCCTCTCTGAAATATATATATATTTTAAGAGTGAAGTTATTTGATTAATGTCTCTTTCCTTCTCTAGATTGTAAATGCCACAAAGGCCTAACATAAAGTCTGGCACATACATGGTAGGTGGTCAATAAATACTGATTAAGCAGAGCTGTGCAGAGTTGCCAGTCTTCTCCCGGGCTGTCAGAGTCAGACTTGAAGGATGACTAAGGAAGGGCACAGAGCAGGAAGGGGATCTGAGCTGAGGCCCTGAGAAGTGGCCATTTGTCCCCTCCCAGGCATGCCAGATGGGGAGCAAAGGAACACTGACGCTACCACTTTCTGTTGACTAAGCAACAACAACTCCGCTAGAGTGCAAAGTTGTGATCACCCCACAATTTGCTATTTCAGTGCCTACACTGTCTTGGCTAATTAGTTAGAAACTTCAGGTGGTTTGCCCAATTGGGCTCTCCTGGTTCAAGAAGAAAATTCCATGACATATACAGGTTTGTTGCCATGGGGAAGAAAGACCAAGAGCAGGATTTTGACATTTTCTTCAATATGAGAAACAAAAATTTTGAAAGGACAGGGCAGGGGGTGGGAGGCAGAACACAATGACCACTAATTTATTCTCTGACTCAGGTAGTTCTGTTTCTATGTAAATATGCAAAGAAACAAAGAGAGAAAAGAGGCCCCATAGATCCACATCCATCAATTCATCACAGCAGGAAACAAGAAAAGAAGCCAGGAGTTATGAAATCCCTCTGAGAGTTGGCATGGGGTTGCCCGAAAACTTGAATACTGTTTCTCACAGAATTTAATTATTCCCACCAGAAAAAAATAAACTTTCCAGAAAAGAGCAAGGGTGTCTTTTGTTCCGTATTTGTAAATGCAGCTCAAATTCTTTCAGCTGAAGGTTGAATGGTTTGCTCTACAAGTGTTGGATTAAACTAACAAAAGTGAATATTTTGCATCTTTCATTTGGATGACCCTGCAAGTTCTAGTCCTGACCTAAGTAAGGGGCTGAAGCCAAGAATAAAAATTATTTATTTGATCTTCTTCAAACTGGCTCAGGTGACCATGTGACTGTCCTAACAATTCTCTCCGCAAGAGACATGAGAGGTCATACATCCCTGGGCAGTTTACAAGGGGTTTGAGGTTTCCTTGGCATATACCTTCTATTGTGTTCTGCCTTGTGGGCTTGCAGTTTTTGAAAGAATGCAATAAGAAGCATGATTGGGCTTTGGGGTAGAGACCAGGGTAGAATCTAGCTCTGACATTTTCAAGCTGGGTGACCTTGAGAAAGCGATGAACTGGGTTTTGGTTTCCTCATTTGCAAAGTAGAGAAAACACAACCCTCTCACCTTCAAGAGCTGTAAGAACAATAAGAGGTGACGCGTGTGAAGTACGTGGGACACAACGCAGGTGTTCAGTGAGTGAACTCCTTAGCCTTTCTATGAAAACACCCATTCATTGGCTCACTCAACAAATTTGCTTCCAGCATTTACCGAATGCCAGGAATTGGGCTAAATTCTTGGAATATAGTAGTCAAGGCAAACAAGGTCCCTACATTTATGGAGCTCCTGGAGACAGATAGATATTAAACATCTCAGTACTATATTCAGACTCTGATAAATAGTATGGGTGTTTTTTTTTTAATAAGACAGGACAATATGATAAAGAGTAACTAGAAGAAGACAGGGAAAATATCAAAGAGTATTTAAGAAAGGCTTCTCTAAAAAATTAATCTGAAACTTGAATGACAAAACAGAACCAGTCATCCAACCTTGGGCAGGAACACACATGGTATTTGGGAGAGACAGAGGCAAGGCCAATGGAGCTGTAAGCAAAACAGGGTAGCAGGGCCCAGATCACGGACTCTGTAGGCCATAGAAAGAGTCTGGAACTTATTGTAATGGGAAGCCATTAGAGGACTTTAAGTTCCAGAGTCACTTAATTAGATTTGCTTGAGGGGCAGATATAGGCACAATGATGATGTATTTGTGAAATAAAAAAAAAAATCTGCCCTCATTAGACTGAAGAATAGCTACTAGAGGATCATGTAAAATAAAGTTATGATAGATAGTGTGGTCCAGAAATGGTTTTAGAATTGATGTGATAAAAAAAAAAGAAAATATCATTAAAGGTTGTGATATGAGGTCACATTTAAGTGAGTGATAGGCATTAGACTGTAGCCTTTTTATCTTTTCAAAGAAGATAAAAGAGGTAAGAAACAGAATTAGTCCTCCTGGAACAGATGTCTTCCTCCAGGAGTTTAGTGTTTAGATAGAAAGGGCCTGCATGGTGCAGGGTCAGGCATGCAGAAGACACTCAGTACATTATAGTTCCTTCTCTTCTTTCCTCCTTTCCCCTTTGGACCAGAAGCCACCAGTCCAAATGGAATTCCTAAAGGATGGATGAAGAGTTGCCAGAGACAAACTATAGGAAACAACCCTCTTCTACATAAAATGCACTGAAGGGGTTGACTAAACTTTTGAGGATTCCCATATCTCATGCTCCGTTCTGGTTGTAATGCCAATGAAAGGTTTCTCCACCAGAGGTTTACAGACTTCATTGTTTAAGTAAAAGAACCTGCAAAATAAGAATAACTCCAAATTCAAAGTTGCTGACTCAAGTGAGAATTTCAATAAACATTACAATCATTGTTTTCTGGCATGGGAGGGGAGCAGAAGAATATGAAATAAAACAGCATCTTATTAAAACTGTAATTAATCGCTCTCTCTTTTATCTCATGTTATATCTTGTAACATCTGCTTCCTTTTTGGTCTCTGGGAACAAATATGCTACTACTGATGAAGAGGAGGTCATCGGAAGGGAAGAGGAAAAACAGAGTAGATTAAAGGCAAAATTTCCTTTCTTTTTTTAAAAAAATTAATTTATTTTTACAGAGAGAGAGAGAGAGAGAGAGAGAGAGAGATCTGTTGCTCCACTTATTTATGCATTTATTGGTTGATTCTTGTGCCCTGACCAGGGATCAAATCCAGATGAGGCTCTAACCAACTGCGCCACCCAGCCAGGGCCAAAGGCAAGATTTTCAAATAAGCTTGAGATAGTGTAAAAGTCTAGTATTCGACCAAATCATCTAAAACTCAATTCCATTTACAACTGAAGTTAAGCTGGAACCCTCCTGCTCTACATCTTTATCTGCATCTCAGCAGCCCCAGCATGTAGCTTGGCTGCCTGGCCAGCCCGTCAGCCCCAGTCAGCTGTGCAGAGGCGGCAGGCAGGAACTGCTGGGAGGCACTGGGCTAGGTGGCCGAGGCACAAAGGCCACAGATTTCTCTATGCCAACCTAGAAAAGAATTGAGATAGACCTTATCACTCCCTAAGGACACATGTTCTCTGGAGTTCTTTCAGACTTTCTAGAAATGTAAATCTGAATATTCACCTCAGGGTCTCCCCTCATCATGGACAAAGGGCTCCATCCAAACCAGGCAAAGAGCTCTCCTTAGGGTCTGGAAAGGTCTGACAGTGTTAACGGGGGAATGGCACCCAGTCTCTTTAGTCTGAGGCCTGTCCTTCCCGCATACCGGTGGTCCACATCTGAAAACTTTCCTATCCCATAAGTAGGTGGAATAAAAGAGAGAGAAATGGTACATATGAGACACTCAGTTACAAAATCATCTGCTTTTGGAAGTTAAGATGCCACAGTGAAAGTATAAAAATCCCGCTGATGCAAAGCTCCCAAAGGCCCACCTGTCTGGCCTTGTTCACTCTGGAAAGCAGGAGAAAGCCGGGCCAAGACCTGAGGGGTTGTGTTCCTGTAGAGAGTGACAACAAAGGCAAGGGGGGCCCTTTGCACTGTCCTGGGCCAGCTCTTGCCAGTCAGAGATTCCAAGAGGAAACTTCTGGAGAGAGTTTTGGACAAAGGCTACCAGCCAGACCAAGCAGCTCAATCATGGCCCAGGTCAGGGAAGGCTCCTGTAGGGTCCACACCCACATCCCCTCCCCGCACAACCAGACATGCCAGCCTGCAGTTTGCCACACAAGGGCTATGGTGATGTGACAGGTCATGGGTAATACAAATGGCTCTTTAAGTAAGTGGAGTTATTCTACAACTAATACATATGGTGAAATAGGAAATAATTTACTTGGTATTTTCTGTAAGAAAATAATGTACTAGGCAATTTAAATGAATACACACAGGTAAGTTAATATGGAAGGGTGTGGTATTCCCTGTCATTTTCACTTAACTGCAATTCTATCCTATCTATCTATCTATCTATCTATCTATCTATTTATATCTAAATCTACAGTCATTCCAATCAGAGTTTGACCAAAAGCATATTAGAGCAGTTATTGTGCTATATCTTAACAATCTTAAGATTCCACTGGTGTGCTTCTATTAAGTGATAAAATGTTGTGATAGGCAATCTAAACAGGTTTCTCCCCTGCTGGATGCAACAGAATGTATAATATGCTAATGTGCTTTGTAAATTCCCAGGAGAAAAATAAAGTATACAGCAGCTTCAAACTGTTTTGATCACAGAACTGCAGGACAGGAGATTTTATTGGACCAGAGAGCTGTGTAGCACAATTTTGGAAATGCTGCTCTAGTGAATTCTATACTGCTCTACAGCATATGAGAACTATGTGCAGCCCCTGAGAAGCTAAGAATATAAACCATGTGAAATATGAGCATATGGAATTGAAAAAAATATACCAGGTTACCGATCTAACAGGGTATATACATTAAGGAGTTAATTAACTAATCAATAGACAATGCCTAGAAAAGTTATGCATGTTAATCAATGAAGATGCACTAAAATCAATTTAAAACACTTGGCCAAGCAAAACAAGGTCTTTAGCTTCAATATAAATCCCTTGCTTTCCCCAAAGGAAACGAGCTTAAGTCAAAGCCCTGTGGCAAGTGAGTGCACGCTCAGGACTAAAGCACCCTGCCAAAAATAATTCATACTAGCACTTTACCGTGGAAATAAAATATAAAACTCTTCCCACAGCCAAGAGTTCCATTAGAAAATGAAAAAATCAGCCTCGGCACAGATACAAACGCTCGCCCTTTATGCTCCCAGCCAACTTTCCGGCTCCGGGTTCCTTTGGTGCTGTGCCCACTGCAGAACTGAGGAGCTGGGAAGGGCGTCTAACACAGGCCACCTGAGCCAACAAGGCTTCCATGACTTGCAGAGCACAGGACCTGGGAGCCAGCACTTCCTGGTATGAACAGGGTGTTCAAATTGGGGGTGTGGGGGGCAGAGTCAACCTCTAAGCAAAACAGCACTGATTACCCAGACTAGTGGGAATCCGTGCTCTGTGCTCCAGGGAGCCAGTCTCTGCGCCCACCTTTTCCAGAAGGAAAAGCAGTGCCAGAGGGAAGGTGCTGGAAATCAGAGCTGCGCAGATGCAAGTCGTGCCTGTTGTGTCACTGGTTTACTGCTCTAGGGAAAGGATTGATAGGAGAGGATGAAAGTGGTGAAGAAATGAGCAGGGCAATGAACTGTGGCCTTCAAGCCTTCTGCAACCTTCCATGGCCCCAGATAATCATGAGATAAATGACCTCTGTGGAATGTTTTGCAGATGACAGAAGAAGGAACCACGATGCTAGATAAAGGTGTTTTGAAGCAGAAAGCCAATGCACTCAACATCCTCTTATAGCATATTTTGGTATAAATAAAAAGCAATTTGTGTATGTGTGTGTATATACATATGTGTATATGTATATGTACATGCATATGTATATATATATGTATATATGTGTATGTACATATATATGCATACATACAAGAAGTCTGGAAGCATATAAATCAAAATATTAAAGTGCTATACTTTACTGCATGTCAATTATACTTCAATAAAGTTGTTTAAAATTTAACAGTGGTTGTCTCTGAGTTAGGAAAGATTATAGGCAATTATAATTTTTTCCTGATTTTCTGCATTTTCCAAATTTTCTTGACTATATATGCACTACTTTTGTACTAAAAACATGTAAAAATTATTTTCAAAAAATCTTATATAATTCGTTCGATTTTTTTTATGTTTGTGTAGTTCTTTGTGCTTCATCTAGAGTTTCTACATATTTAATCCCTAAAACTGCAGAAAGAATCTGGTCATCATTCCAGACAGTAGGGACTGGCTGTGCGATGCTACGGAATTTATTCCAAGTCAACGAGCTAGTAACCAGCAGAACCAAAATGTCAATCCAGCTCTCTTCCCACAGGAACAGACTTCGTATAAGACAGAAGTAGCAGAGTTATTAGATAAGATTTATGCAAAAAGAAACATTTTTTCAAGCTCAGTGTTGGTTAAGGGAAGAAATGTGGAAAACCAAGGAAGGTTTGGAGCCCCAGGAGGCACAGTGAGAGGGACAGGACAACTTTTCCTCCTCGTTGCTACATCATACCCTTTGGGCTTCATTTCAACCCCATTCAGAAAGGGAAAGGGAAACTTAAAAAAAATGGAACCAAACACTTAGGGTGACAAAGTACATACAGATGGCACCAACAACGAAATGAAGCGAGAGGTATTCAGACACCGCTCTCTTGGAGGTACCTTCATTCCCGCGGCGGCCGCAGGGCCACTGGGGTCCACGGCCTGGATGTGGCATGGCTTGCTTCCTCGCACCACAAAGCCCCAGCCAACAGCGTCACCAACAATCTAGAGAGGAAAACCACAGTGAGCAATCAGCAGATGGCCCCTGGCAATTCTCCCGACCTTCCCAAAGAGAGAGAGAGAGAGAGAGAGAGAGAGAGAGAGAGAGAGAGAGAGAGCCTGCCCAGGATGAAGTGCGAGCAGTGGCAGATCTCTTCTGTCTCATCTCTACCCTGTCAGGAGTGGAAGGAACACTCTGCTTCTGTTATAACGCAGGCATATCGATGCAGAAACTGTGGTCGGGAAACACTTGTTTGGCAGAAAACAGCTTCTGTGAAGGCACTGATCAATAAGTACCGGGCAGGTTGCCTCTCTCTCAGGTTGGTATACAATTTCAGATAGGAAGGTTAGAGGGTCTTAAACACATGCTTGAATCTTCTCTCCAGATCCAATTTTGACTGGCTTTGCTCTTTCCCCCTAAATTCAAATGATACTTTCTTGATGATATGCTATGTCACTGTAGTCTAAAATAATAATTTAAATTACTAATGGTAAGAAATAGGAAGAATCTTGGCTTTCCTGAAACACAATTTTCTACCAGCAAAAGAAAGTGAAAAAGTACACAAAGCTCACAATTTACAAGTAGATGCTGGTCTAAAAGTTGTTTGAAGCCAGAGGGTGCCTTTTCCTATAGAATCATTGTTAGAAATGGCAGTTACGTCCCTGGGTGGCTCCCAGTCATGTCTTCGACTAAAGTACAGATGAAACACATTCACAATCAATTTCTAGCAAGGCTGGCACTGAAATTTAAAACCACCGGGAACAGGAACAGGTTGGAGGGGGCCAATGGAGGCGGGGGGGAAGGGACCATATGCAATACTTTCAACAATAAAGATTTTAAAAAATAATAATTTAAAAAAATCAGGAATAAGACCAAAAAAAAAACACCAAAAAGAAATACTTTAATACTTTAAAAATACAATCAAGCCTGGCTGGCATGGCTCAGTGATTGAGCATTGTCCTATGAACCAGGAGGTCACAGTTCGATTCCCAGTCAGGGCACATGGCCCAGGTTGCTGGCTCTATCCCCAGTATGGGGCATGCGGAGGCAGCCGATCAATGATTCTCTCTCTTCATTGATGTTTCTAACTCTCTCTCCCTCTTCCGTCCTCTCTGAAATCAATAAAAAAATATATATTTTAAAAAATGCAATCAATTGTCTCTTGAATGCCAGACACGGAGGAAAGGCAGGGAAACCAATGAAATTTCTGTGCATATTCTCAAAAAGACTTTTAGGCACATGATTGATTTTAGGGTTTTCTGTTATTAGTTCAGAATACCTAGTTTTACCCCCAAATGCAGTTTAACTTTTCCCCTGAGGCAGAGGTATTAGCAGTGTCTTTTCATATTGATTGGCTATGGCTGGGACCATCCTATTTTAGCTCCTCAGTGTCCAGAATGGGAAGTAGTCCTTGATAGATGTTGGCAGTGTAAATGAGTGTGCAAAGAGTTTCTCCCCCTGAGTCCATAAAATAAAAGTTAGAAAAGGAGAAGTGTTTAAAAGAGGCAATTGATGGAGATGTGAAGAGACTGAAGGAAGAGGCCAGGGGACGGAGAGGGGGTGAGGTGTTGTCAAGCAGAGTGGGTAGAAGGCTGAGGGACCTCCAAGAAGAGGCATGTGGTCAGGAGATGTTCACAGGTACCCAGTGCTCCCCAATCAGGTGTGTGCATAACTCAAGACATATTAACATGGTCAAAAGCACCACTCCTTATTGTAGAACAATTTATCCCACAGTTTTCTTTCTCTGTCTAAAGACTCCCTAATGTCTTAAACAATTTAAGTAGAACTAACTGTAACCCAGAAGGAATTATTGACTATTGTATTACCATTTGACCTAAAGTCTGTAATTATATTACATAATAGAAAGCTTTTTTTAAGGACACATCAAAGGAGTTTACAATGCTGTATTAATAATAAATCATGTCATTTTAGTGCCTAAGGATCAAGAAAGCCCACTGTTATAATTATGCCAAAAACAAAAAGGAAAATTAACATCTGTAAAATACCCATTGGCACACTGACATGTTGACATGGCCCAGAAAAACAAGCAGCACAGGAGAAAAACCAAATAATGAGCCTACTGTGAAAGTCTTCCTGGCATACGGTGCTCCGGGAGTCAGGAGTTCCTCAGAAGTGACGGGCCTCTTTAACACTGTAAGACAGACACAAAATCAAGGTGCACCCTTTATTCATTCATTCATTCATTCATTCATTCAGCAGATACTTTACTGAATGCCTCATTTGTAACCATCAGGGAACAAAAGGGGGAAAGAAAAATCCCTGCCTGACAGTTATACTCTAGCTGAGTAAAGACAGAAAATATTAGCAAACAAATAAGCCCACACCTAACTTGCAGAGCTATGGAAAGAAGAGGAAATGGAGCAGGTAAAGGGAAGCAAGGAGTAGGCTAAGGAGTGGGCTAACATCCATCCCCACACGCAGTAACAAGTGTTATTTTCTTGTGAGGAGAACTTTTAAGACCTACTCTCCTAGCAATTTTCAAATACACAATGCAATGTTATTGACTATAGTCACCATGCTGTACATTATATCCCCAGTACATATTTATTTTATGACTAGAAGTTTGCACCTTTTGACCACCTTCTCCCGTTTTGCCCAACCCATCCCCCATCTCTGGCAACCACCAAACTGTTCCCTATGTCTATGAGATGTTTTTTAGATTCCACATATAAGTAAGATCATATAGTATTTGTCTTGTTCTGTCTGACTTATCCCACTTAGTATAATACCATCCATGTTATTGCAGTGGTTTATGAGTGCTCCCTGATTTCCCAGTGAGAGTCAGTGTGGAAGCAAGTTTCTTCACTCCCTTGCAAGTTACAACTTTATTCTTAGAGCTAACGCTCCCAAAGGTGGGGGCGGGGGGGGGGGGGATAGGGAGGTTAGATTAAAAAAAAAAAAATACCCGCCCTGGCCAGTATGGCTCACTTGGTTGGGTGTCATCCCATGCACCGAAAGGTTACTGGTTTGATTCCAGGTTAGGGCACATGTCTGGGTTGCAGGCTTGATTCCTGGTAGGGAGCATGCAGGGGGCAGCCAATCAATGTTCCGCACCTACATTGCATCGATGTTTCTCTCTCTTTCCCTTCCTCTCTCTCTCTCAAAATCAATAAAGTATATTTTTATATACCCAATTACCTACATAATAGCATTACATGACAGAGTTTTCTCTCTCTTTTTTGTTAAAATATATTTTATTGATTTTTTACAGAGAGGAAGGGAGAGAGACAGAGAGTCAGAAACATCGATGAGAGAGAAACACCGATCAGCCGCCTCCTGCACATCCCCCACTGGGGATGTGCCCGCAACCCAGGTACATGCCCTTTACCGGAATCGAACCCGGGACCCCTCAGTCCGCAGGCCGGCGCTCTATCCACTGAGCCAAACCGGTTTCGGCGACAGAGTTTTCTCTTAAAGCCCTTCGAACAACATCTATTTGTCCTTATTCTCACTAATGCATAATGATTTTTTTTTCTCTAAAGAGATGTATTCACTGAGGGTAGGGGCCATGACCTCTCATCTTTGTATCCCCAACATCTGGTGATAAGGAAACATGACCAAAGAAACAAAGTCTTTTCCCTGAAGGTAATATATTGAACTAGGATGAACAGAGCACTAAACAAATGGAGTTGAGGGTATTTTCAAGGCAATGATTATCATGAAGGACCATGCAATCTAATCCTGGGAAGTAGGTGGGTACGGGGCCATGAGAAGGTGGTAGTATCAATGGGTTACAGGCTCCTGTGGGACTGAAGAACTAATTAGGGCGAGGAAGGATTGCTTCTAAGTCCAAGTTCATCAAAAGTCTTTTTTAAAACATTTTATTTATTTATTTGTTTACTTATAGAAAAATTGATTTGTTGTTCCACTTATTTATGCTTTCATTGGTTGATACTTGTATGTGCCCTGACAGAGGATCAAGCCTGCACTTCACTTATCAAGACAATGCTCTAACCAACTGAGCTACCCAGCTAGGGCTTATCAACAATCTTCATGCCTAGATTTTTTCTGTAATGTAAAGGCCAAGAGGTTGATGAATAGAGTTGGAAACCACCAGGCACCAAGAATCAATTACAGGTACAGTTGGGTTTGCATAGACCATGCTTCTTCCTTAGGGGTGCTGGGGACCCACAGCTCTTTGCATTGGTTGCAGTCTGGGGAATCCCTGGTTCCCCTGCTCTGTGGAAGACTGATGTGCTGCTCAAACCCTCCTTCAGGACTGACTGAGGGGCTCCTCCCAGCTGCCAGGACTGCTAATGGCAGACAGCCCTCAGATGCCAATGCTCTCAATAGTTTTTGCAACTCTCTCTCTTGCTCAAGGTCACACCCTCTTCCTAGGGGCAGCCAACAATTAATGACTAATCAACATAAAAGTACAAAGGCCTGGCCATCTCGCCTGAAATTTGGACAACTGTGAAGGACTATCCCAAATCCAGAGCTCCCCTTGGGTTAGCTGCAGCCTCTACCGAGAGGGCTTGCAGCTCTGTTTTCCTCTGCCCAGCCCTACGTCCCTCCTTTCCAATCAACAGTTCTTGACCCTAAGGACACACGATAATAAGATCCCCACATACTAGTCTCCCTCAGTCTGAGAATCTGCTTCCCAGGGAACCCAGCCCTCAGGGAACCCAGTCCCCAGGGAACCCAGCCCGCATATCTGCCCAAGTCCCCCAGGACATAGTCAGAACACTCACCAGATTTGGGGTTGCAGAGCACAGGGGGGCTGCTGCTGAGGGTGGGGCTGCTGCTGAAGTAGCCACTGCTGCCACAGCTGCTCATGCTGCTCCTCCTCACGGCAGACACGATCTTGATCTCCTTGCTGGGGCTGACTGCGGGTGGGAAAACACAAGGTCACTGAGGGTGGTGGTTTTGGTTCCCTAGAGGATGTGGGCTTTCAGCCGCCAGGTACAGAGGCCAGTTACCTGTGCCGGGAAAAGCATTCTGGCTTCAGAGTGAGAAAAGCAAGGATTTGAGTAGCAACTCTGCCTTTTACCAACTGCATGATTTGAGGCCATTTCCTTCAGTTCTCTGAGCCTCAACTTACCCAACTATAAAGTGAGAATAATACTATATCAAGGATTGGTGCATAAAGTGGATTATATAATGTATGTGCAAGTCCTCAGCTACATAAAATATTATTTGAAGAACCCCTAAACCCATGCTGAGCAGTCCCTGGAAGGAAGTAAATTAAGTGTTGGTATACACTTAACCAATTAACAATACTGATAAACACCTCCTGCTTTCATATGAAATCATGAATCAGCCAGAGCCATGGAAGAGGAGATTAAAATACACAGCACATATTTAGGCTTTGAAAGTGTATGTGAGACAGAGGCTTCAATGATCTGATCTGGTTCTCTCTGCCACGAAGTTGGCTGGCTCTCAACAAGGGAGAGGAAATCCAGGTATATATGATGAGTGAAAGAGGCCATGGAGAGAACTCAACTTAGTTCCTGGTACATAAGAAACACAAAATAAAAGCTGTTTTTATGGTGACCATGGTTACTATAGCCTCCTTATCATCATCATTACTTATTCTGTTGGGCCCATTTAAAAAAAAAAAAGACAAAACTTAGCACTAGTTTTGTGAATAGTTATTCTGAATTTACAGATGACCACACTGTAGGGCGCCCATAAAATGGAGAAAAGAAAATCTTTCCTCTTCAAGTTATTGTGAGAATTAAATGAGCAATCAAGCTTGACTCACTGACAGGGGCACAGAAAATTCTCAATACAGTTGCACGTGTCCTCATCATCACTCCCTATACACAGCCAAGACACCCATGGACATTTTGCCCTCAGGTTAAGCCCAGAGCATTCAGACCTTAGGCCAAACACAGTCAATGCCAAGTTTTCAGAGGATCTGATACCCGTTTAAGCTCCTCAGCCTTTCACACAGAATGACACATCAGGCTAACCTCTTCTGGATGAATGCAATTATATCTGAGAACATCAGTCTCCATCATTTCTGTCAGGCTTAACTGTCAATATGAGACTGTTTAATCTTACATGTAATATCCCAAGCTATTGTGCTTTATGAGCTGATGTCTGCTTTCCATAGTTTTTCTTTGTTCTGTGCCACCCTTTCATAATTGATTGATAACCAGTTGCCTTTTAGTTGTATATGCCCTCCAAAGTCTTTATTTGTTCTTAAAATATATAGCTTTTCAGTGCTGTAATTTAGAACACTGTACAACTAATGATAACAATTGTTTACAAATGAAAAGTAAATAAGGTGTGAGTAAAAGCTTGAGAGGTCTTCTTTTTTTATTTATTAAATTTATTGGGGTGACATTGGTCAACACGAACATATAGGTTTCAGGTCTTCAGAGTTCTTCTATAACTCAAATACATAATTTTATAAAACAGACTTCATGATAATCTAATTTGACTCCCCAGGAACAATTTGGTGGTTGTTGTTTTCTTTTGCATACTTCTGGGTTATGAATAAATAAAAATTTGCTAGAGAACATAATTTCTCAAAAGACAAAAACATGTGGTCGAATTAACAATGGAACTGACCTACCTGACATAAAACTGGTAGATTTCCGGTTGTCGTGGCTCTGCTTCCTCAGGCAGAAGGGACTGTCATGCATTTCCTGGGAAGGGGATTTTTCATTGAGCAGCTCCATGAGTCTTCGCCTCCGCCGGAAGTTCATTCTGAACTGGTAGAGAAGATTGCTGTCCACGAATGGGTGCTTGTTGGACACTGGGGAGAAGAAACAACAGATGAGGACCATCTGACGTCCTGGCCACTGAGTACTGCAGCCGGAAGACTCCAACCAAAAGGCTTAAAGACAGAATTGAGAGCTTCTGCTCAAGATGGTGGCATAGGTAAATGCGATACTCACATCCTCCCACAACCATATCAAAAATACAACTAGACTACAGAACAATCTAACTGAAACCACCTGAAGTCTAGCTGAACAGAAGTCCTACAATCAAAGATATAAATAAGCCACATAGAGACTGGTAGGAGGGATGGAGACACAAAACGGGCTGGTCCCACACCCACATGTGGTGGATAAAAACACAGCCCACATGGCAGGGGGCACACCTGGAGTGCCCAGCTCAGGTGAACAAGAAGGCTGTGCCATGGGACTCTGTAGGACACCTACTACATTAGGCCACTTTACCAAGCCCACGAGATGTAGCAGCTCTACCTAATATATAGGAAGGCTGCCAAAATAAGAAAACAAAGAAACTATGAATTTAGTACTGGTTTAAGTGCTTTATATGTATTAATTTTTTAAATTATAACAGCAGCCTAGGATAAAGATAAACCCAGAGAAGACCCCAGTTAATGGCAGAGGTAGAAATAGGACCACAGTATATGACTCCAAAGTTCAAGTTCCAAACCACTACTCTGCACTCCCTCTACGATAAGTAATTCCTGTGCTTGCTTAGGTTCTCATGGAGAATTGAAATAGCAACAGTCTTTACACTGTAAACTAAATAGACAAAAGCAACATAGCACATTGCCAATATAAGATCTACATTTATGTTAATACCAAAATAATTATTTGGATATTAAACACTGGGTACATGGTCTCAAAAAGTAGTCTCATTCCACATGCCTGAAGTTATGAAATGTGGAGTTAAGCCTGTTTTTCTGTGTGTGTGTTTTTCCAACTTCATGTTATCTATGCTGTAACAAAGTTCTTTTCTACTATTTAATAGCTAAAGGCAGTCATAACTCCTGCATCTTTGAAATAAATGGAGAAGGTTCATTTGTTTGTTTATTTTGCTTGCATTTTCAGCAAGACAGGTCAAAACATGGTTTTATTTTTAGAGATTCTATATGCATTTTGTAATAGCTTTACTAAGATATAATTCACATACCATATAATTCACCCATTTAATATTACAGTTCCATGGCTTTTAGTATATTACCAGAGTTGTGCATCCCATCACCACATCAATTTTTACATCTTCAGCACCCCAAAAAAGAAACCCCACACTCCTTAGGAGTCACCTCCAATCTGCCCATATCCCCTAGTGCTAGGCAACCACACTAACCTACCATCTGTCTCTACAGATTGGAGTATTCTGGGCATTTCATATAAAAAGAATCATACAATATAAGGTTCAGTGTGACTGGCTTCTTTCCCTTAGTATAATGTTTACAAAGTTCATCCACGTTCATCCATGTTGTAGCATGTGACAGTAGTTCACTCCTTTTTATTGTCAAATAATGAATAATATTCCATTGTATGGAGACACCACATTTGTTTACCTGTGCATCAGTTGGTGAACATGTTTCTACTTAGTGGTTATGAATAATGCTGCTATTAACATTCATGTACACTTTTCTGTGTGGACATACATCACCCTTTCCCTTGGGTTTATAGCTAGGAATGGAATGGGAAGATTATATGGTAACTCTATATTTAATGATTTGAGGAACTGCTGGACTCTTTTCCAATTAGAATACCCCATTTTACATTCTCATTTACAGCAGTGTAGGAGGTTCCAGTTTCTCCACATCCACATGAATGTCATTGTTCATCTTTTTTATTATACTTATCCTAATGGGTGTGAAGTGGTAGCTGACTGTGGTTTTGATTTGCATTTCTCTGATGGTTAATGATGTTGAGCATGTTTTTATGTGCTTACTGTCCATTTATATATATTCTTTAAGAATTGTCTATCCAGATTCTTTGTTCATTTTTTAAATTGAGTTGTCTTTTTAATAATAGATTTTATTTTTTTAATTGCATTTTCAATTACAGTTTACATTCAATATTATTTTGTATTAGCTTTAGGAGTACACCATGGTGATTAGACAATCATATACTTTACAAAGTGTTCCTTCTGATATTTCCAGTAACCACCTGGCACTGTACATAGTTATTACAATATTATGGGCTATATGCTCTATGCTGTACTTTACATCCCTGTGACTATTCTGTAACTACCAATTTGTACTTCTTAATCCCTTCACCCTTTTCACTTAGTCCCTCAAATCCCTTCCTATCTGGCAACCATCAGTTTGTTTTCTGCATCCACGAGTCTGTTTCTATTTCATATATTCATTTATTTTGTTCTTTAGAGTCCACATATAAGTAAAATCATATGGTATTTACTTTTCTCTGCTGACTTATGTCCTTAGCATAATAACCTCTAGGTCCATCGACTTGGTCACAAGTGGTAAGATTTAATAGATTATTTTTTTAAAGAAGTTTTAGGTTCACAGCAAAATTGGGCAGAAAGTACAGAGTTCTCATATACTCTCTGCCCCTCTGACACAGCCTCCCCAATCAATTATCAAAAATAATGGCAGTTAGTTACAACTGATGAGCCTACATTGACACATTATCATCCAAAGTCCGTAGTTGACATTAGGGCTCACGTTTGGTGTTGTACATTCTATTAATTTCAGTAAGTGTAGAATGATATATATCTACCATTATAGTATCAGACAGAATAGTTTCACTGTCCAAAAAAATCTTCCATGCTCTGCCTATTCATCCCTCCACCCTCCCTAACCTTGGCAACCACCGATCTTTTTACTGTCTCCATAGTTTTGTCTTTTCCAGAATCTCATGTAGTTGACATATAGTTATAGAGGCCTTTTCGGATTGGCTTCTTTCACATAGTAATACGCATTTAAGGTTCCTCCATGTCTTTCCATGGCTTGATAGCTCATTTATTTTTAGCACTGAATAATATACCATTGTACGGATGTATCAGTGTTTATTTATCCATTCACCCTCTGAAGGATACTTGGTTGCTTCCAAGTTTGGGTAAGTATAAATAAAGCTGCTATAAACATCCATGTGCAGACTTTTGTGTGAACATAAGTTTTCAAATCCTCTGGGTAAATATCAAGAAGCATGACTGCTGGATCATATGGTTAGCGTCTGTTTAGTTTTATCAGAAACTGCCAAACCATCTTCCAAAGTGGCTGTAAGGCTTTCACTTCCCCCAGCAGTGAATGAGAGCCCTGCTGCTCCACATCCTCTCCAGCACTTGGCATCGTCTGTGTTCTGGATTTGGGCCATTCTAATAGGTGTATAGTGATCAAATCTTTTTGATTTGCTTCACATATGATGTTGAGCATCTTTTCATATATTTGTTTTCCATCTGTATATTTTCTTTGGTGACATGTCTGTTCAAGTCTTTAGCCCATTTTTTTTTTAAATCAGGTTGTTCATTTTCTAATTGTTGAGTTTTGAGTTCTTTGTATATTTTTAATAACAGTCCTCTTTCAAATATGTCTTTTGCAAATATTTTCTCCCATTCTGTGGCTTGGCTCCTCATTCTCTTCATGGGTTGTCTTTTTATTATTAAGTTGTAATAGTTCTTCATGTATTCTAGATACGAGCCCTTTATTGGGTATATTGTTTCCAAATATTTTCTCCCATTCTGTGAGTTGTCTTTTCACTTTCTTGATGGTACCCTCTGAAGCACAAAGGTTTTTAATTCTGATGATGTTTATTTTTATCTTTTTATCTTTTTAAATTTATTTTTTCTTTTGCCACTTGTGCTTTTGGTGTCGTGTCTAAGCTGCATAGTCAACTTAGTAAAACACAGAAAAAATAACCTAAGCTCTGGGGGTGGGAAGGGATTAAAGAGAAGAAAATAAAAACTAAGGAGAACAGTAATTGTTGTCTCTAAATTTTGCTTGCTCCAATTCTTCATTTCTCAGATCTCCATGCTAAACAGGACCTTTATATTGTAGTAAATGTTGTGACATATATAATTTAACAAATTTCAGTCTCCTGCCAAAACCGGTTTGGCTCAGTGGATAGAGCGTCAGCCTGCGGACTGAAGGGTCCCGGGTTCGATTCCGGTCAAGGGCATGTACCTTGGTTGCGGGCACATCCCCAGTGGGGAGTGTGCAGGAGGCAGCTGATCGATGTTTCTCTCTCATCGATGTTTCTAACTCTCTATCTCTCTCCCTTCCTCTCTGTAAAAAAATCAATAAAATATATTTTAAAAAAAAATTTCAGTCTTTGTTCCTTGAGAATTTTAATCTCTAAACAGGAAGACATAAGTAAGAACAGATAATGTTCAAAGCTGGCATTTAATATCTAATATTCTAGTTGAACTCTTATCATCAGCTATAATTGAAAACTGACAAATTTTGTACTCATCCAATTTCTAATTTTCTGGGACTTCCCAAGCCTTCCCTGCTGCATTGGGGGAATTCTCTAGGGGCTTGTCTTGCTATTAAATGAGACATAATGTAGGAGGAAAAACAGACATAGCCTGAAAGCTGAAGAATGTAAATATAAAAGGATCTTATTGTTTAGGAAAATAGGGGCTCTAGAAGCACTACCCTCCCAATGTTGTTGATATTTGGTAAAAGAAACCAGATCCTTATTCACTGTGTGCCTTTACTTTTCAGAAAGCATGAGGGAAATGTCATAGAATCTACCAAAATAATAAAGGGATAGAGCTCAGATATCTTCTTCTTCTTGTGGATAATGTAGCTACATTTTTCTCTTAAAAATTATTAGGGTGATTTTTAGCAAACACAAAGACATTTTTTAAGCTGATTATCTAAAAGGGAGGAAATTGGCTTCGGTTCCACTCACACATATAGTCCAAGGATGAAAACTTATCATCTTGAGCCCTACAAGCTTAGCTGAATATAAAAGACATTTTAGGCTACTTATCTAGTTGGAGGGAGGAAGGTCACATACTTTCATCCACCCTTGAAATGTTTTCTGGCAAATGACATAGCACAACGGGCATCATGAA